GTCTTGGGGTGCCCCTGGACACTTCCCAGCCCCTTGGATTTCTTGGGGTGCCCCTGGACACTTCCCAGCCCCTTGGATGTCTTGGGGTGCCCTTGGATCCCTTCCAGTCTCCTGGATTTCTTGGGGTGCCCCTGGAGCCTTTGCAGCCTCCTGGATTTTTGGGGTGTCCTTGGATCCCTTCCAGCCTCCTGGATGTCTTGGGGTGTCCTTGGATCCCTTCCAGCCTCCTGGATGTCTTGGGGTGTCCTTGGAGCCCTTCCAGCCTCCTGGATTTTTGGGGGTGCCCTTGGATCCCTTCCAGCCTCCTGGATGTCTTGGGGTGTCCTTGGATCCCTTCCAGTCTCCTGGATTTCTTGGGGTGCCCCTGGAGCCTTTGCAGCCTCCTGGATTTCTTGGGGTGCCCCTGGAGCCTTTGCAGCCTCCTGGATTTCTGGGGGTGCCCATGGAAAGGACCCCGGGGTGGGCGCAGGATGCGAAGGGGGCAGCGGCGCCTCCGGCCTCCCCCTCTCCCACCTCCGCTTCCCACTCGGAAGGTGCCGCGGCCGCCGCCTTCCCTTCGGCCTCCCCCGCGCCGGCCTCGCCGCTCCGGAGCCTCCGGAGCCTCTTGGAGCCGCCTCTCCGTGCGCCGTCCCCTGCACAAAGGCCCTTTTTGGGGACGAGGAGGCTCCGCTGGCGCCGAGGAGGCCGGCGCCTGAAAGACGCCTTTGTGAGCATCAGCGTTCCCGGAGGGAGCCGCTTCCAGGCAGCCTCGCCTTGGGAATGCGCGGCTCGGAGGCCAGGGAGGCCCTTCCAGGTTCCTCTTTGCCCCGGCCATTTGCAGGGTTCCTCCTTGGTTCCTCCTTGGTTCCTCCTTGGTTCCTCCTTGGTTCCTCCTCCGTTCCTTCCCAGGACACGAGTTTCCTTCTCCTCGTCCCCAAAAGCCGCGTATTCCCACAAATTCCCCTCCAAGACGGGTCTCCCATCCGGACGGTCTCTCATTTGCTCTTGGATCCCAGCCTGGGCAGCTCTTGTGCGGGGAGGCAAAACCCGAGGGGAATGAGGAACAAAACAGGACCGTAGGGAGAGGGATCCGCGGGATCCGCGGGATCCCCTCCTGCTGGGTGGATATGGGGGCGCCAGCGGGTGTTAGGAGCGGGGGGCTCTGCTGCTCCGGCAACAGGTGGTGACAGTCGCAGGGCAACAGGCGGTGACACTCGCGGAGCAACAGGCGCGGAGGTGACAGTCGCAGGGCAACAGGTGCAGAGGTGACACAGGGCAACAGGCGGTGACGCTCACGGAGCAACAGGCGCGGAGGTGACGCTCGCGGGGCAACAGGCAAGGTGATGCTTGCAGAGCAACAGGCGCGGAGGTGACAGTTGCGGAGCAACAGGCGTGGAGGTGACACAGGGCAACAGGCGGTGACGCTTGCGGAGCAACAGGCGCGGAGGTGACAGTCGCAGGGCAATAGGCGCGGAGGTGACAGTCGCAGGGCAACAGGCAAGGTGATGCTTGCAGAGCAACAGGCGCGGAGGTGACAGTCGCAGGGCAACAGGCGTGGAGGTGACACAGGGCAACAGGCGGTGACGCTTGCGGAGCAACAGGCGCGGAGGTGACAGTCGCAGGGCAACAGGCGGTGATGCTTGTGGAGCAACAGGCGTGGAGGAGACGCTTGTGGGGCAACAGGCGGTGACAGTCGCAGAGGAAGAGGTGCGGAGGTGACAGTCGCAGGGCAACAGGCGCGGAGGTGACGGTCCCAGAGGAGCTGTCGTGTTGCCGGGCGAACGGGGCCGTTCCTCCCGGAACGGGGCCGTTCCTCCCTGCGTTTCCCGGTCGTCCCCGCGCGCTCCCGCTCGCCGCGGCGGGCGGAGGCGCCGGGCTCGCGTCCGCGGCGCTTCCCGAAAGCTGGAACGCCAGCGCCTTTCCCTGCCGCGCGCCCGCAGTGAAGAACCCGCCGGCGGAGCCGTCGCGCTTCCTGCCCGCGCCGCCCAAGCGCCCGGACAAGATGGGCTTCGACGAGGTGAGCGCCGCTCCCGCGCGCGCTCCCGCCGGGATGCCGGGGCCGGGCGCGCGCGGGAGCCCCCGGCGCCTCCCGCTTGGCGCAGGTCTTCATGATCAACCTGCGGCGGCGCGCGGAGCGGCGCGAGCGCATGCTGCGGACGCTGCGCGAGCAGGAGATCCAGTGCAAGGTGGTGGACGCCGTGGACGGCAGGTGCGGAGGCTGGGGAGATCCCGGGGGGAATCCTGAGGGGATCCTGGGGTGGGGGGGATCCCGTGGGGGAATCCCGAGGGAATCCAGAGGGGAATCTCGAGGGAATTCCATGGGGAATCTCGAGGGAATTCCATGGGGAATCCCGAGGGAATCCCAAGGGGATCCCGCGGGGGATCCCGCGGGGAATCCCGAGGGGATCTCGAGGGGATCCCGTGGGGGAATCCCGCGGGGAATCTCGAGGGGATCCCGCGGGGAATCTCGAGGGGATCCCATAGGGGGATCCCGCGGGGAATCTCGAGGGGATCCCATAGGGGGATCCCGCGGGGAATCTCGAGGGGATCCCGCGGGGAATCTCGAGGGGATCCCGCGGGGGGATCCCGCGGGGAATTTCGAGGAGATCCCGCGGGGAATCCCGGGGGGATCCCGCGGGGATCCCGAGGTTGGTGGGAGCCGGGGCGGGACGTCCGCGTGCACTCGCTATCTCAGCGCCGCGGGCCGCCCGTCCCCCCCGTTGAGTCGGTCCCGCTCCGATTCCCCCGGGAACGGGGGGAGCCGCCCGGGAAGCGAATCCCGCCGCGGATTCTCCCTGGGGAGCTGCCGGGCGCCGAGCCCGTGCCCGCTGCTCCGCAGGGCCATGAACAGCAGCCAGGTGGAAGCCCTGGGCATCCGGATGCTGCCCGGCTACAAGGACCCCTACCACGGGCGCCCGCTCACCAAGGGCGAGCTCGGCTGCTTCCTCAGCCACTACCGCGTCTGGCAGGAGGTGAGCRTCCCACCGGGAAGCTGTCCCGGGAATGGGGCGCCCCACGCCGCACAGTTCCCCGGAAAGGGGTTCTCCATCCCTGGAAAGGCCGGGATGGGATCTTGGCGGGAGGCTCCTTCTGTGGGTGGTCCTGGTGGGAGAAATGAGGAGAGGGTCTTGGGGTGGAAGGAGAGGTCTCGGGGTGGAAGGAGAGGGTCTCGGGGTGGAAGGAGAGGGTCTCAGCCTGGAAGGAGAGGTCTCGGGGTGGAAGGAGAGAGTCTCAGCCTGGAAGGAGAGGTCTCGGGGTCGAGGGAAGAAGGTCTCAGGTTGGAAGGAGAAGTCTTGGGTTGGAGGGAGAGGGTCTCAGGTTGGAGGGAAGAGGGTCTCAGGTTGGAGGGAGAGGTCTGGGGTTGGAGGGAGAGGTCTCAGGTAGGAGGGAAGAGGGTCTCGGGTTGGAGGGAGAGGGTCTTGGGTTGGAAGGAGAGGCCTCGGATTGGAGGGAGAGGGTCTCAGGGTTGGAAGGAGAGGGTCTGGGGTAGGAGGGAGAGGGTGTGGGGTAGGAGGGAGAGGTCTGGGGTAGGAAGGAGGGTCTCGGGCAGGAGGGAGAGGTCTGGGGTAGGAAGGAGAGGTCTGGGATAGGAGGGAGAGGGTCTCAGGTAGGTGGGAGAGGGTCTGGGGTAGGAAGGAGAGGTCTGGGGTAGGAAGGAGAGGGGCGCGGTGGTGGCTTTGGAGGGTTGTTCGGTTGGCGTTGCCTGTTCAAGCCCGCCGCCGTGGGGCATGGCAGGTTGTGCAGAGGGGGCTGCGCAAGTCGGTGGTGTTCGAGGACGACCTGCGCTTCGAGATCTTCTTCAAGCGGCGCCTC